CTTGGATGTTGTTGATACTGATGCTATTTTAACTTGGAAATGAGCTTTTGTAGCTGGTGGGTCTCTCTAGCTGAGGAAGGCAGGTATGGATACTGCCTGCCTCTTGGAAATGGGTGAAGCCTGTCTCTCAGCAGTTTCATTTCCCATGCACCTCCCAGGCTGGTTTAATGGGTTGTTGGAGGTTCTGCACACCAAATTGTCAGAAAGGTCATAGGACAACCTTTGTAAATGAAATTTAGTTGTGCTTGGTACTAAGATGCTTCATACCCAGTTGATGTCTTAAGTTCATTTTAAAAAGAAAATTGTTTGAAAATACACGCTTCATTTGATGGGCGGAAATAGTTATTTGCCTGTCATCTGGCATCTAACACCAGCTCATCACCATCACTCATGAGAAAGGAAAACAAGCATGCTTTATTCTCCAAGAGGTGCAGTGTAACTGTGAAATTGTATTTTAGCTTCTTTCTGCATTTGAGTGTGGATCTCCAAAATGCTGCTGTCTGGATGGCCTGTCATTAAGTGTGGTTCCTCTTTTGGTGCAGTAGCAGATAAGCTGCCCAACAGCAAGCTACTGGGAAAAAGTCTGCTTTTAATAATGAACTATTGCAGCAAAAGCATATATGGGGTAGAAGTCTGGCGTGCTCCCTAAAACTGTGCTTGTGAAATCTATCATTTGGGAGAAAAGTGCTAAGGATTTCCAGGAAGAAAGTTGATGAGAGTGGAGCTCTTGCAGCTGTAGAACAAGATGTTGAAAAGTAAACTGCAGCTGTTCACGTGATGCACTAAGTGCTATGCCTGCTAGAGCGTGTGTATGACAAACACCTAGGTAGTGAGAGTCTCGTTATTAAGACTATAACTTAAGTGAGAAGTTTTGACTGCTACTTTTTTTTTTGACCTTGCGACATGCATTGAGCGTAAAGTACCTTAATAGGCTTTTGTCCAGCTTTAAAAAGGTTTATCATCATCTCATTTGAGCAAATAGGAGGGAGAAAACGTTGGAAATGTTAGCCAGTCAGCTTTCAATATTGCCTTTCTGTTTGCAAAATCAGTAACAAGGTGTTCTTAAAAATGATCACGGAAGGTTATGAGCGAGTAGAGGAGGAAACGTGCTTTTGAAATGTCTGGGTGTTTGAGATGTCTTTTGTCAGTAGCATTGCTTCTGTAGCATTGCTTCTGTTGCAGTTTATCTGGTCTGTGTATGTATTCAGTGCAGTGATGAGAAAAACAAACCCATGTGTTTTTTTCAAAAAAAAAAACCCCAGAAATGGTGAGTGTGACTCACAGGGTTTGTACCTGAGGCTGCATACTTGCTTTTATCAATAACTAGCGTTTCTGCTGGGAAAGCATCATCTTTCAGAGAACTGAAATACAGAAACTAGGAATTGAGGACTGTGCTAGAAGAGTTGCATGGCATATGCTGCGCTGTCTTGGTTTTGCTCATGGCAGCAAGCTGCAGGAATTGTTGTCTTTACCTAGCACGCATGGTTAACAGAGAAAGGAAAAGGTCTGAATGAAGCAAGAGTTTGGCAGTTAAATAGTAACACTTGTAGGGAGGCACATCGCACCAGAGGATTTGATAAGTAAGTTGAAGGTGGTGTGGTTGTCTTCCTAACACAGATGTAAGGCTTCCCTCGTGCTGGGGACCGTGGATGAACTGCACTGCTGTGCTGTTCCTGAGCCTCTAAGTTTTTGATATGAGTGTTCTTACAGAAAACACTATTAAGAGGACTTACAGCTTTGAACCACTTCACATGTGTGTCAGAGTGTCTCACTGACAGTAACACAGGAAGCCAGACATAGAGCAGGGAATTAAATTGATTCCCAAGTTATTGCATTGACCACAGGCCCATCTTTCCCGTGAACCACAGATGGGCTTTTCACGTCACGTGAGTAGCAAGTGCACCAAGCCCAGTGCTCTTGGTGCTTCTGACCTCCCCAGTTTCACATGAAGAGTAAAAATAGCTGCTGCACCTGTATTTCTTATTTAAACTTCCCATGGGGCACCTGCCAGGGGAATTTTGCACTGTCCCAAGGGTGATGACTTTTACAGATGCTCTGCCAGCACATGGCAGGGCCAAGACACTGAGCTGACGCACTGAGTGCGGCTGTGTGTTTGCAGGAGGGAGCTGTGCCCCTGCTCATGGGAGATGTTGCCATAGCTCTCAGATAGGAGCTGCGGTCACTGAGACCATGAGAGCTGAATTGGTTTGGATTGAGGAGGCTGAGTGGTGTGAATGCACTAGGTTGCTGCAGGAGCACACGCGGTGTAGATATACAATGTGGGATTGTTTGCTTTTGTAGTGTAGTTGGGGCTAGTGGAGAGTAAAAGTGGTGCGTGTTAGTGCAGGAGAGGGCATGGGTTTGGCATTACACCTTCTCAGAGACCTCAGCATCTTGTTACTGTGTCCGAAGGGGGCTGGAAACCTTTGGTAGGGGGACTGATCCCAGCAGAGTATGAGCACCTGCTTATTCTCTTACGCAGAAGGTGGTAGAGCCTGCAGGCTTGTGTTCCTGACAGTCAGGAGCCCGAGAATAAATGTCATTTTAAATAAGTCATGTGATGGATGACACGGGTATAAAGTTCTGGGATGTTTTGGTTTTCGTTATTGTTCCTCACTGGAAAAAATGAGGATGGACACAAATAAAGCCTCAAAATAGGAAGCAGGCATCTTTTGGGGAAAATGATAATCTGGAAGTTTGCACCAGTATATTCTTCAGCTGAAGCTCCCTGTTCAGTGTAACTAGCTACTGTGTGAAGTGGGGCTGTGCTCATGGGTAAACATGTGCTTAACCATTTGCAAGACCTGTGCCTCAGGTGCCAGTTACAGGATTAGTTACAGTTTCGTAATTTGTATGTGCTTCATCTGAGTTGGTGGAAGATTAATGGGTACAGAAGTTGCTGTTAGTTTGACTGCTCTGTCCTTGGTGTTTTTTTGGTTTGTTTTTTCTTTTTTTTTAAACTCCAGGTGGAGACTAGTCCTCTTTTTCCTATTGGATAAGAGTGTACCTAATTATTACATGAATAAATTTGGGGTAGGTCTCTAAGCACAGATTTGGTAGTGATTGTTTCTTTGTTCCAAATGCTTATCTTACAAACATGGGAACTGAATTTTTTGATGAATCACTGCGTAGGGCTTTTTTACTTAATGTGTATACATTTATGTTTTTCTTTAACTATTTGCTTTCCACAACTAGTATCCTAATATGCAGCTTTCACAAAGAAAGTGAAAAACAAACCTTCAGGCTCACTCATTTAGAAATGAGTTTTTAATGAGTTCCTGCACTTGTAGGAAAAAATTTTTTTGTTTAATATACTTCAGTACTTAACGTTTTTCTTGCAATACAGTCATCGTGCTTGCAGTCTTATTTCAGTTACTTGTGAAACTCATTTTGAGCAGTGAACCATGTATCGTCCAGTACTTTAACTGGAAATATTCAAACTCTTCTCACTGAGAAAATCATTGACTCAATACATACTGTTTGAATGATACATTTCAGGCTTTCACTAAGAAATGAGATTATTGACTGGATTGGAGTTAATAAAATAGTAAGTTAATGTGCATTTAATTCTCCATTTTTGACCTTGTTACCCATTTGAATACTTCCTTAGAATAAATTGGAGTACCTTAAGAATCTAAAGGTATTTGCATTGGACTAAAACGTTACCAATGCTGGTTAAGGTTTTAGACAACACTAAAAAGGAAGCAAAGAAGCTTTTACTGAAGTATGCTGCTTTTTCTGTAAAAGCTAATATATTATTGCAGTTTTTTTTCCACTTGTGAGAGCATAGTGGTAGGTTCCAATATATTTTAGTTCTTCTGATGAATAAACAGTTGTGCATTCTAGAAATCCTCAACAATAATGACAAAAACCTCCTGAATTGGAGCACTTCTTCAAGCCAGCTGCTTCCTGATAATCAACATCTCACTCTAGCAGTCTGCATAAATCCTGCTTTCTAATTAGAATTACAAGGCTTGTCAAGAGCTCACATGGCCCTTCCTCTTCGTCTCCTTAAACCCTGGGCCAGGTCCCAGCCTGAATTTGCATCTCTCTGCAATAATTCCATTGATATAGAGGCTGTGTTGGATGCTGAGATCGAAATCGGAATCATTTTGCTTAAAGGTGTGGAAATTTCAGTGGAGCAGAGAAAATATTTTAATTCCTTCAGCTAATCATGTAAAGAGCGCAACTCATCCAGTTTGGAAGTAGCTGGAATTTACTTTTCTTAAATGTAGTAAATAATAACAATCAAAAGGAAAGTAGGCATCCTTACCCATTGATACAAACCATAGCTGAAAAGATGGGCTTTTATGGCGGGAAGTCTTGCCACAAGGACCTGGAAGCTTTTTGCTGCTGTTGAAGTAAGTAGGGTGTGTTTATAAAAAGAAAGAGGAGCTGACTTGAAAATATACCATGTGGGAAGTGTCCAGTTCTTCCTGCAGAAAGCAGATCCTGTCCATCCTCATTTGCATTGTGAAATGGTGTCTCTGGGGGGAACAGTACTAGGCGTGTGACATGCTAAGCTTTAGGAGATGCTGATTCCAGCTGATTTGCCAGCCTGCTGTGGGGCTTTGGCCTGCCTGCTAGCCCCATTCTAGCGTTGTCTAGATGAGATGTCTTTGCCATTGAACTCACTCTCGGAACTTGTTACACTGCTGTTTGCCTCCTCACTGAGCGAGTAATTTACAGGCTATTCCTCTCTGAGAAACCTTGCCGGAGGTGACATCTAGCACAGGCTATTGCAGGCTTTGTATAAAAGCTGTCTCTGAAAGGCAAAAATTTGGTGTCCAGGATGCTAGCTTTTGGATGTGGTTCTGAGTTCCTGTTATTACCTCTACTGAAGAATTCTGGCTTAGTCTAAATACTAGTAACTGTTTTGAATGTGTCAGCTTGTGTGTGAGTCTAAAGAGCAACCTGAAGGCAGGAACAAACAGGTAGAAATAATTTTTAAAGCTCTAATCTGTCTTTGTCCTTTTTTTCCTTTCTGCAACATTTTGAAGGATGCGCGCCAGAAGTTCCGCTCCGTGCTGGTCGAAGCAACGCTAAAACTGGATGAACTAGTAAAGAAGATCGGAAAAGCTGTAGAAGACTCTAAACCTTACTGGGAAGCTCGGAGGGTGGCCAGGCAGGTGAGAACTTTCTGCCTTGTAAGCTTGTGCTGGTAGTTGGAGAGCACATACTGATTGCATTGCTTTCCTGCTATTAATAACATTTTAAGCATATGCACTTGGCTGACACTGGTCTATGTCTTGAGTTGTACGTCAGCCGTGTGAATCGATGGCAAAAATGTGTTTCTTCACAGCCACAGCTGCACATGTTCTTCAGTCTAGGAACAGCTACAGCAGACACAAACGATCAATAGCAAAAGACTAGTTCTGTTCTCCTCTCATTATCAATGGCCTTTCAGAGCTCTGCTCTTTCCTATCCATAGTTGTAATTATTTGAAAATACAGTGTAGACTTCGCATATCTGCTTTTTTTTCTTAAAGCAAAATGCTCAGCCGCTAAATGGCTGCAACTGGAAGCTGCTGGGAAACAGGCTGGAGTGGGGCAGACTTGGGGAAACCTGCAGGGTTTGGTGCTGATTAGGTTGTGCTAAAGCAGGAATGTGCTAAATGTGGCTCTAGAGCGTGTTGGTTTGGGGAGAAACTGAGCTCTGCTTTCTGTACTGTCATCAGGACCTCACCTCCCTTGCCCCAACTACTGCTTGATTATTGATAGGCCTGTGTGGCTGATGCAGGGAAGGAAGCGTGGAAGTAAGGGTGTGATCTACTGGCTGCAGGGAAAGCAAGAAAGCTTGTGAGATGTCAGGCAGCTTCTCACTCTAGGGAAAAAGTAGCTGAGAGTTGAGTGTGTGGTGGCTTAGGCAGTGCTTCTGCTTGGTGTCTGTAATGGGGTTTGCTGGTGTCTCAGGCTTTTTGTTTTTTCCTCAAGGTGGGGAGGCTGTTCCTGGGTGCTACTTCTATTTTCTCTTGAGGCATGGAGTGGCAGAAGTAGAGGAGGAGTTGCACAGAGCTGCTGCTTCTGTGCTCGGCTGGAGGGATGTATGGGGTGGCATCTGTGGCTGGGTAGGATGTGGTTGTGTTCAAGGGGAGAGTGAGAGATGGGGTAGCATATGTAAAATACATGAGAATTACAGAAGGATTTTGTTTGTAAAAATAGGTAGGGGATGAGGTTGAGGGTGAGAAAAGTAGTGTCGGTGTGTGCCAGAAGGCAGAAAGTAAACTCGCAGGGTAAGAGAAGGGGAGAGAGGGGAATACACCCTCAGAACAAGGCACAGGAAAGGGAGGCATGAACACAAGCTTCATCGCTTTGAAAGCAGATGAAGCAGGAATTGGGTTGATGGGATGTGGCATGCAAGATAATATATGACTATGTTGATCCTTTAAATTGCGCGGCATTGTTTTGCAGCCATTGTCTCAGGCAGTGGGGATGATGTGTAGGGGTTATTAGGCTTAATCCTTCAGACTAGAAGCAGCGTGGCAAATAGGTAAACTCTGCTTCAAAGCACAGTAAACACGATATCTACTACTCATCTGTAACTGCTCTGAAAGCAATCCCTGCTCATGGGGCCTATGGTGCGTGCTAGAGATAAACCAGTAGTGAGGTAGAGAAAGAGAGGAGAAGTTAGTAACAAAATAAGATCAAGGAATTGTTTATATTGTGTTAACTAGTATGTGCAATTAAAAAAAAATCCTCGAAACCCCACCTCAAGTATGATCTTATACTTCTATTACTATAAATAGCTATGTAAGGCACAGTATGCGTAGGACTTCAGGAGTTATACTTGGAAAAGTCAATGGTAGAAATGCATGCTCTGCAGTACAAAAAAATCAGGTGACTTTGAGGTTTGTAACTTCAGGCACTGAAAGCAGTGAACTTTGTCCTCTGTCCTGAAGTTGGCAGCAGATTATGTCCTGAAAATGGATTTTTTTTTTTTTTTTTTTTTTTTTTTTCTTTTTTTTTTGCCCCTGAAATCCATTCAGTCATGCTGGTTCAAAGGTGCTTTGCAAGACTGCTAGAAACCCAAACCACTGAAGTTCCTTAGATTTGTGGAGTCACTACTCCTGTATTGGGCTTGTTAGAGAAAACCATATTTTTCTCCCAATCCATTCTGTCATTAGCTAGGTTTAAATGCTATTTATCTGCTAATTGGCCACGCACTCAATTTTCTTTTAATTCCTTGATAGCATTTTATTTTTTTTAAAGCAGGGATTCCCCTTCTAACTGTTCATTTCACTTCGTTCCATTTTGTGTTATGGAGCCAGTCATGGAACAGAGCTCCCTCTTTGTATCTGCTCAGCAGACAGAGCTGGAAGATGGTCTCTGGTTTCCCTTTGGCTCTTTGTCTAATAAAATCTTGAAATAGAAAATGTGAAGGCCGAGAAGAATATTGGTGTTGAAGGACAGCGAATCTATCTGGAAACCAGGAGATTGGAAAGATTAGTACCAGTCATCAGTAAAGCATCTGCCTAAAGAGTTTTTGTAGTCTTAATTTAGTCTAGAAAAGTTCTGTTTAACTGGGAGCAAATTTGCTATATTAAAGCGGGAGGAAGCAGTGGGTAGGGAAATACGAAACTGGAGGAATGTACCAAAATATGAATATGTTTAGGTGCCAGCCCGCATCTTTATTTTATACTTCGATTTGTAAAGTTGTAGACAAGTCATGTGCCTAAAGAGTTTTTGTAGTCTTAATTTAGTCTAGAAAAGTTCTGTTTAACTGGGAGCAAATTTGCTATATTAAAGCGGGAGGAAGCAGTGGGTAGGGAAATACGAAACTGGAGGAATGTACCAAAATATGAATATGTTTAGGTGCCAGCCCGCATCTTTATTTTATACTTCGATTTGTAAAGTTGTAGACAAGTCATGGGAATAGCTTGATATTTTTCTGTTCACATTTATAAAAACATCTAGCATCTGAAGACTGTCTTCCTCCTTCTGTCTTTACGGTTATTTTAGAGCCATTAGGCTACCTCTAAAAACATAGGCACAAGGTTCTTGGTGGTTGAAACAGCCTTAATTAAACAATGAGGGGAAAATGCATGACTCTGCTTGTAAGAGAAAGGGAAGTGTAAATTCTTGTTTGTTCTCAGTAAAGGGAAGTAAAAATATGACCTATAAATGGAATTCTTCTGGGAACAAAGAACTGTGTAATTAATGCCATCTAGTTTGGCAGAAATGCAGTTGTCCAGAGTTACTTGCATTTAAGATGTCAGTTGTAGGGTGAGTTGGCTGATGCAAGCTGTATTTAGTCACACCAAGGAGCTTGTTTTCACTTAGCACCAGCATGATTCTCTTCTGGAAATACACATTTCATTTATTAAAATAAAACCCATTAAAATGGTATGAGGGCACTGATGTTGGGTCAGCAAAAACCAGGTCCCTGAGTCAAGTACTTCCCTGGAGAAGCTTTAGGACCTTGAGCCCTTTTGTCTCCTCACCCTTATGCCCATCTTGTGCAATCCTCTGTTGCCAGAAATGGTGAATTCAAAACAAATTAATTCTCGCATGCAAGAGTCCTGTAGCATCTTGTTTGTTTAATGTATGCCAAGAGAATTTCAGCTTGGCCTATCTCAGGGTGAAACTTTGCTTTAACAGAACAATGGTCCCTTAGCGTTAGGATTTGAGTGCTTTGTCCTCTGAAGTGGTGGCACAGGGAATCAGAATGCTGTCTGTTGGCACCAAAGCAGTAATATTCAGCTTTTGCTGAGAGCTGGCTAATATTATTGCCCCTGTAGATTTCATGCAACTTCTGTCATGACAACTTTGTTGTGATTTCTCATTTGATATACCAGTGGGCCTTTTGTGTTGATTGCAGGCACACCTTACTGTTCTGGAGCATTTTGATCCAAATTTGTTGTTTAATCAAATTTAGTGTATTTCTGCTGCAAGAACTTTTTTGCATTTGGTGTATTGTCTTTTCATGTTGTTCTTTAACTTATGCCATAATGCACATGTGCAATGGAAGAACCTTGGCATATAGCGGAGGATTGTGTATGTACGCAAGCAATGACCACGTTGCAGCAATATGAAATTCCTATAATCCAGAAGGTGGTCCAGGTTCTACGTGTTGGGAAGATCAATCTTCCCATGTCTGTTTTGTTTTTTTTTTTTTGTTTGGGCGGGGTTTTTTTATTTTTGGTTTTTTGGGGTTTTTTTGCTAGTAATCTGCTTCCATGGTTGGGGTTTTTTTTTTGTTAGTTTGGGCGGTGTTTTTTTTATTTTTGTTTTTTTTGGGGTTTTTTGCTAGTAATCTGCTTCCATGGTTGACTAGTAAGAGACTTAGACTTCCTGCCCAAAGGTAATGGGGAAGAAGGGTGACGTTGCCAGGAAACATTAATAATGTAAACAACAGCATAGGTCTTGAGCCTCTGAAGTAAGGAGTGTCTTAAGCCACTGTTGACTTAGCATTTTGCAGGGCTGGGGCTGGAAAGTGCCTACGCAATAGTGTCTGAGCAGGTGATAGAGTTTGAGAAGTGTGTTACCTCCCTAGTGACAGCATGCTCTGGGACAGGATGCTGTGCAAAAGCAAGTGTGGTCTATTGCATAAATCACTGGGCTGGTAGGAGCTGATTTTGTGCTGCTGCATGGCATAGATAAATTACTTCATCTCTCTCTTAGTTCCCATGTATAATGGAGCTGTCAAGCTGCTGTGAAGCTGAGTTCATTAAGGGAAGTAAAAGCACTTTGGGGTCATTGGGTGAGAGGTGCCATTAAAACACTGTTACCCGTACGTCATCACTTGTGAACCCAGGGACAAACTGAACAGAGGACTTGCCTTTCTGCTTTGCTTCTGCTGGAAAAAAAAATCTGATAAAAATGCGTTCCCACCCACCCCCACAAATAAAACAGTCCATGCATTTGTAGTGACCCTAACCTGAATAAAAGCCTTTGGAGTGTTGCTTTTAATTAAGCTTTAGCTCCTATTACTGAGCATTTTTGTTTTTGTTTTGTTTGTTGTTATTTTTTTGGTTTTTTTTGTTTTTTTCCCCTCAGAGTGAGTTTATTTTTTTGTTTTTTTTTGTTTTTTTCCCCTCAGAGTGAGGAGTTATGTTTTAGTCCCCAGTACTGGCTCAGACTGGGAGTTGGTGCAGATGCTTTGCTCAGCTTTAGTACTGAGCTTATTTGGG